ATGTAGCGAAGAAATGAGGATATTCATCACTGGAACAATGATTAGGGCTTGTTAGGAGATAATCTCCAAATGATATCCACACTCATCTTGAATTAATTAGTTACTTATTAGTATATATTTTACAAAATGTCTGCAATTATACTGTTATCAACTTTCATACTTGCACTGTTCATACACAAGATCATTAGTCCGTCATTTGCTTAAGCAGCATGGCTATTGGGTCACATTATTTATTAACTTCATGCCAAGTAGGAGGAGGCTGAATATATAGGTTGATAGATTTTGTCAACAACATTAAAGCAAATTTGTTTCTGATGACTAGAGAGCTTCTTAATCTATTCAGGCCTTTTGCATCATTATTTATGTATAGATACTGACATAGAGCCTCAATTCACAAGCCACCAAGCATGCAAGCAATTTTCAAGCTTTCTAAAACTGCAGTGTTTGCGGCATTAAAGTTGAAAATGAGAAATCACAATGAGCCTCAAAACACATCAGAATGGAGCCCTGCGCGCTGGGTATATTGTTTCATGTAGAAAAAGAAACAGTGCAGCTTTGGCGTCATCTGCATTCCTCTAAGCATCACAGCACAGAGATGGCCTGAAGGGGGAAAAAAAGAAAAGAAAAAGAGCTTGCAGGAAACTCAAAACTGCACTCTCGAATCTCACTAAAAGGAATTAACTTTATTAAACGCTGGAGGAGGCATATTTAAAGTGAAATCGAGCTTGTTTTCAGAACACTGAAGTTAGAAAATATAGAACTAACAATAGCGCTGAAAGCATGACTGCAGTTAGAGCGCATAAAGTGCCCTTTTGAGTCACGTTTGTGACTCACAACTGAGTACGAGGTGTCTCACCAAATTGTCGTAATCTTTCAGTGTGCACGTAAGCGTTGCGCTTTCAACAGGAACATGTGGTTTCTGAAAATTAGCTCTTAAACTTTGACTGTTGTTGCATTAACTTAATAGGAACCGTATTGTAGCGGGGTAAAAATTCCAGCTGTTCCAGCTGTTGTGTTCCCAATGATATGACAGTATGATTATCAGTCAAAGGAGCTTGGAAAGAAAAGCGTCTGGACTTCTTTAAGTTGCTTGAAGACGTTTCACCTCTCATCCGAAAGAGGTGAAACGTCTTCAAGCAACTTAAAGAAGTCCAGACGCTTTTCTTTCCAAGCTCCTTTGACTACGATGACCTGGATGACTGAGAACCTTCACAGACATATGATTATCAGTCAAAATATGTTCCAGTGGATATGAAAAAAGCCTTTAAATGTATTATTATTGGTTATATCTGTTAAAAACAGTGTAACAAAATGTCATAAACCACCCTTTTTAATTGTGAATCCCTGTATTCACGTCTTTTTCCGAAACTACCTAATGTGGCGTGTACAATAAACAGTTGCTTAACTAACACATGAGCACGCACACACAGCGTTCGTCTATCTGTTTATTTTTTAGCACTTTAATGATTAACCTGCTACTATGATATTCGTTTTAGAGTAAATTCGATTGATCTCAGCTGTTTCTCAAGTTTTGTGGAAGAGCTTGCCGGTGATTCAGTTATTACTGCTAAGCTGTCCGAAGAGCTCTCAAAGTGATGGAGGATTTCTCCACCCAACATTGCTATCAAAATGTTTTGTGTCTGTCTGGCGTGCTGCTTCCTGTTTATCATCCCAAAGCATTAAGAAAACTCATTTCCAGAGAATAAGTCTCAGCGCACTTTACAAGAAGATGTGGAAGAAAAATAAACAAGAAAAAGAAATTTGAGGCATGACTCTAGTACAAAGAGATCTACAGGTTTTAAGCCTTGCTTTATTGTTCCTGTGGAAGAAGTAATTGAACTAAGCAAACCTGTAGATTGGAAAAAGTTTGGAATTGCAGATGAGAATGAAACTTTGTCTAAAACACTCAAATATTTTGAGTTTGCTTCTCGCAAGAAGCCTCTGCTTTCCAGAAAGGAGAGCTTAGATTTGTTGACTTTGGTAAAGCTGGGATTATAAAGTAATTTCAAAGTTAAATATTCATTAACTCACAATTGTCTGTAAATAGAGAAAATTAAGTACTGTGGCTATTCTTGGTAGAAGTGAGCATTTATGTAAGATTACTCCAAAGACGCAAAGCAGAATGCTCATTTAAGTAGATGTTGTTAACATCTCTTTTCATCACTCTCCGCTGCGAACAAATCAGTGAACAGACATGTTGACGTTGAAGTGTATGGGTACTACAAAGGTGTGGTACATTGGAGGACTGCTTTGTTGCCTGTGGGCCATAACAGCTTGGCATCACCCACATGGAAATTACATTAATTTTACAGGATAAAATCACAGTGGCTGTTTATGAGTTGAAGCTCAGCATGTTAATTCTTTAAGTGTATTAACATCAGAACATTACTGTGTTAATAGTAATAAATACTTGAGTTTTCGGGAGATCATATCACACCTAATAACCGAAAACGGTTCACATGCTTTTCATCTCTGTAGCTGCTGGCCCTTTATTCTGACTACCAAGTTCTGCAGACACAATTCAGAAGCTTTAATTTCAGCACTATGTCAACGGTAGACTGCGCCAGCTGCTGTCATGTTATGTCAGTGTGGACGGGTTTCACCTAAGGAGCTGCTACAGTTTTGACTTATCATACAGTAGCAGGTAAAAGTGGAGACGTCCGAAGCAACACTAATGATGACCCAGTTCTAGTGAAGTGAGTACCTCAACCCAGCTCCTGAGGACATGAGTCAAGGGACTGTAGGGTTCATTTTCTCAACTACTTGTGCAATTCAGGATTGTGGGTGGGGTTGATGCCTTTATAAAAGACTCATATTGAGTGCAGATACAGATGAAGCCTATCTGCAGCGAGCACAGCTGTCTGCTGGATTTAACAGTCTAGCCCTTATTTTCAAGCTATTTAACTCTAGCGTTAATGTTCTCTGGCAAACGGCTAGTGTAAAAGCTTACATGATATAGGAAACGTGAACTCATCAAGCCAAAGGTTGCAGCACTGTGCACCAAGCAAAATGGCATATTATTAATATACCAATAGGTCTAGAGCATATCCCAGCTAGCAAAATGCCCAGTAAAGTAAAAGAACGAAGTATTAAAGTATTATTATACTTTAATATACTCTTTACTTGCTTTTTTAAATTCATTTACTTATTTATTTTATTAGAATTGGGTTCCCAAACTTCTCAGTAGCAACAGTGCCTGGCACGGCCTTTTGGGTAATGTAGTTCTAAGAATGATTGACACTTCTGAAGTATCGCGCAAAGCGACAAACTGGCTAACCGTGCGTGCTTCTGATGTACCTGCAGGTATGCACTTCTGTGCTTTGGGATTCGTTTGTTTACTTGACACAAAGAGAGCTGACTCTTCCTGTCGCCCCCTCCCTGCCAGGCCTAACTTTATTTATGAGGCTTGTAGCAATGTAAATCGTACCCAGAACTTGTGTCACTTGCCAGTAGACGTGAGGCCGGGCAGTGCTGGCTGTAAACATGTGGGTTGCTTGTATCAGGGACGATGGTGTGAAATCGGTTAATTTGGCACTAATGGGCTCTGAGCGCAGTTGAAGGGTCACTTCTCGTCCGCGGAGACTTTGTGATGGGGGATCTGGAGCGAAGCATCACTTACGCTGTGAGTAATGTTTCAGAAAGTTAGCGATCTGAGCTGTTGACGCTCTGAATGTTTCCTAAACAGTTTGCAGAGTACATTTGCAGGCATTAGTGTAATGACATAAACTCAGGACGTGCGCTTATGCCCGACAGACTTTAACGCTTTTGATCCGTACGATTTTAATAGAGGTAGCATCACAATATTTCCACTCATGCACCTGCACTTTTACTCAGCATACATTATGCGTCAATATTATTAGCCTTATCTTATGATGGCTCAGTCCTCTAAATAAATGTATTTTTTTGTTTGGTTGTTTCGTTTTTCAATAATGGAGGTTTAATAATGGTTGCAAAAAACTACAAACACAAAGGGAAATAACAGCTGACATCCACCCTTGCGTGCAAAAATCTGTATACCAGTGTTGAATGTAGTTGTTTCATTGCTTATTCAAATCTAATGCAGAATTCACTGTACAACTCTCCAGCAAATAATGTTGACACAGTGTAAGGGCTCCATAGAAAGCTCTTCCTGTAATGCCCCATTCAATGGCTTCCTGAGCACTAAAGAATATTCATCACCCCTCTGGATTTTGTTTAAGGGTGGTTGATTGGTGTAATCTGAGCTTTCAATCTAGCCATATTGTATGAACTACCTTGCACATTTCCTCTCATTGTATTCGAGGAAGCGCTATTGTGTTTCAGCAAGGCTTTGACTTAAATTTAGGTCCTGCACAACCGGGTGCACCTGTATTTGAGAGCTGTGTATCAGTGAAGCTGGAGTGTTTCAAATTTAAATAGATATTCAGATCAGTTGCTATAAGAGCATATAAATGGATTAAGTTAATCACTTGATATTAACGTACCAGTAAATTGAGGATAATGCCCCATCAGGGACAAACATGAGCAAACGGTAATTCCACCTTTATGATGACAGCTTCTGTAGCATCTTAAAACAGCTTTTTAGCTCTGAGGTCACTGTAATCTGACTAATTTGAAAAATTACAAAAGGCTACTACAAAAGGCAGTAATTGTCACAACCTGTTAATGATATGAAAAAGCACTGAATGAAATCTGTTCATGTTTGGACATGACAGAATTGAACCTATTGGCTAAGAGATATTGCATAAAAGAGGACGGTGCTTGGAACTGCACAAAGCAAATAAGTGGCTCTTTGTTTCTGAGTACTGTAACAACTGGGAGAGACTGTGGGAACCCAGCTCACCATCACATCAGATACATGGAGTGCGTTTCCACTCCCATACAGTCACAAAAGAGGAATGTGTGAACAAAGTGACATAACTGCAAATGTGACTTACTCATGGCATTTATGCAACTGCAGTGTTAATGATTTAAGGTTTTAAGTGTGTAGTTTCTGTCCAATGGTCAAAAAGGTAATGCCAAAAAGCTTTGTAAAATGCTGACAGCTAAGATAATATTTATCTACCACTCATCCATCTCAGGGTTGTGAGTGATCTGGAGTCTATCCCGGCTGCCACAGGGCAAAAGTATCTCCTGCTCATTGCCACTTTGAAAGAAAAGCCCTTTATTTTCATGTATATATTATATACAATTGATCAGAACTGTTGTAAATGGCAAGTAATGATTATAGGAATCACTAATCATACATTTTTTAATGGAATATAGTTGTACACAAAAAAAAAAAAAAAAAATCCAAGCTTATCACATTAAAAGCGAGACTGAACGTGCATCTAACATTTAAAGCTGGCAGCAGAAAAGAGTCACAAATCTATTGTGATACATGCCAAATACAGGTTATTGACTACTTTTCTTTGCACAGTAAAGAAAATATGTTTGTCATAGAATATTATTTGCCCGTGCATTACAAAATGATTAGATGCTAAAGAGCAGCTTCTTTCTATAGTAGTTCCATAAATTAATATTTTTTATCAGTTAGAATTATGCAAGATTATGTGCTGTAAAGAGGAGGATATCTAAAACTGTTCCAATTCTAGTTGGTACACTTAAGCACTGTTTTTTTTAAGTACTTGGCAAGTAGGTTGTTCCAGCATGTTGGGGAACTTCCCACACTTCTCCTGCGGTTTTAGGCTGTCTGCATTGCTTCTGTCTCTTGATATAATCCTAGACTGACTCGATGATGTTGGGATCAAGAGAATCTGTGTGGCCCAGGCGATCTGTTGCAGGACTCGTTGTTCTTCTTGTCACTGAGGATAGCTTGTGACTGTGGCTAAAGGTTTGGGCTCGGTGTCATGCTGGTGAATGAATTAAGACTTAGTCAGATGCCTCTCTGAAAAAATGCCTGCGTCTTAAACTTTTTCACTGCTTTTATACTGCACATTGTCATACTGTATGTGTGCTAGATAATGGTATGCTACTGTTACACAGCCCTAATTCTCATTTAATGGGAGTGAGCCACTTTAGTGTAAGCCTTATCCCGATAATGAGTTACTAAGCTTCTTTGGAAAATGGCTCATATGACTGGCTTGACTGTACTGGATCAAAGCAGGGTAATCTCTGGGATGGAGATGCTCAGAGGTTGAGTATTTCAGATCAGATTATTTTCCTTGTCACTACTCCAGTATAAGACCTTTAGAATATCTGTAACAGTGTTTACTAATGAAGCATTTTTTGTGAAATGGCTTTTTAGACGATAGACAAGCACCTGCTAAAACTGTACACACTATACTAAATTGAGCTAAAAAGAAATTAAGATGATGCATTTCACATTTAAGGGGAGCTATTATTGCACAGTCAGTATTGGTGTTCAGCTGATCTAGTTAAGCTTTTGCTTTTTGTTTGGTTTCCAGCAGCTGTGCCCTATGGCAGCGTGTTTTTAGGTGTTGCACAAATCCATATGTCAGTTTGTTTCATTCAGATAAAAACAGTTATGCCATGAGGCTTTTATTGTGAAAAAGAAAGGACTCTGTAGTTCTGTGAAAAACTGAGTACTTAGTACTCAGTATGAGTAAGTATATGATGATAATCACATGCACTTGATTAATTTGTCATCAGCAAGTGTGACCACCCCTATTAAAGCCTAAGTTTTTAAGGTTTTTGTTGATCTGGTGTAATCGGCGCAATGCCGCAATCTTCACAGAAGTGGAAGTCCCAGCAAATTCATCCAAAGGTCAGACTCAGAGAGTCAAAGAAATTGGAGAAAAAAAAACTAAGAGCTACATGTCAGTCTTTACAGGCCTCAATTAGCATGCTAAATGTTATAGTCCATGACAGTGCATTTAGGAAAAGACTGAACAAACACGGCTTGTTTGGAAGGTGTTGCCAGGAGAAACCCTCTTCTCCCTAAAAAAAAACTTGGCAGCACGGCTTATCTTTGCAAAGTTGCATCTGAACAGACCGCAGGAGCTCTGTAACAATCTCCTTTTGTCAGGCAAGACCTAAGTGAAGATGTTTGACGAAAACCAAACACAGCATATCAGAACAAACACCTCATACCAGCTGTTAAGCACAGTGATGGAGGGGTGCTCTGTCCTCAGTCTGTCCGACAGCTACAGCTAGGCCAAAATTGAGTCATACAACAGGACAACGATCCAAAATCACAGCAGCAATTTGCAACAGAAAGATTGAAAAAGAAAAGTTGGGCCAGGTGTTGCATTGGCCAGTCAAAGTTCAGACTTTGGAACAATGTCTGCAAACCTCAATGAACTGCACCGTTGTACAGGATAGTGGGCCAGAATTCCTCCAAAGTGATGTAAAAGACTATAAAGTCATATAGAAAATGAATAATTCAAGTTATTGCTGCTAACGGTGCATGCTATTGAAAGATGGAGTGTAGTGGTTTTTTTCTTTCACAGGAATGCATAGAGTCTTGTGAACACTTTCTTTTTCACATGACTGCATGTGTGTGTGGACAGATATGGATGCAATCTGTAACTACACTGTATGGTGGAGGCCTACGGTCAAAAGGCCTCACATTACTGGGGCACAAGTTCAGTCAGGCAGCATCACTAATGTCAACACCTCATAATTCTTGTTTCGACATGCAGAAAAAACATTTGCGATGGATTACATAAAGTGTTTAATACAATCGCAACAAGAAATGAATAACATTTGCACATTGCAACCTGTTTCTCCCGTGCAGTCTGTCAGTTTCCCTCGTGGGAAACAGTTTTGATGATTTTCAGCTGCCAAGTGAAGCAGAACTGCAAGTGTTTGCCAGTTGATGCACACTGCCATCTGCAGAGAGTGTGACAGGTCATGAACGTATGACACAAATTATGGATGTAATTGTCTGATGTGCTTTAAAACCTGCATGTTTGTGTTTGCCCTCAGGGTGACTTCACTTGGAACAGCTTGTCAGGAGGCACTGTTGGCCTCAAGCCCGTCCCCCTGCAAAGCCTCTCAGAATTGGAGAGGGTTCGTCTCCAGGATGTGGCCTTCAAGCGATTGCTTCGGTGTCATGACCTGGGCTGCCACATCACCATCCCTAAATGTATTACCACACACAGACACACACACAATTACAGGCCTCTTCTTGTCTCCCAAGTTGTTATTCTGTCTCAGGCAAGAAACTTTCTGAAAAAACACATGCTGAGCAACAGATGGGAAATGTTCCTCTCTCCCTTTTCTCCTTTTTGTTGTGTAAGGGCGTCATACTCATAAACTCATTGGTTCAATGACGTGAGCTCATCTACGTTCTCCAGTAATAGGCTGAATCATTTCTGGATTCCACTACTGCTGCCCTCTATAAAGAAAGCTTTTAAAAACTGTTTATTTTCTGGTGAGCTGTCTTGGTTTTTCTTGTTTCAAAATTGTCCCTGGAGTCTGTAGTGCTTTGAAAACGCCATAAATAGAGTACATGTGAAAAATGTGCTGTTTTCTGAAACGGAACAGTCCTGTAAATTCACGGTGAATTAAGATTTGCTTTGCATGTCATTATCTTGACATTTTTTATATAGTTTGTTTCTTAGCTCTTTTGTGTAGTGATCCTGAGAATATCAAGTGGAGCAGACATAAACAGAAACATATTATCTAGACCTCTGGTTTTTTTTTTTACCTGTGACTCTTTTTTTAGATGGCCACAAGCACAAGAAGACACTCAGGAGGAAGTTGGATTCATTATCTAAAGAGAAGAGTAAAGACAAAGGTAACATGATCAGGATATAGTCTTAATTCTGGTGCTTTAAAGGGTAGTTTTCTCCCAATTTTCTATTTACAACATGAAGCAATGGCAGCATAGCAGGAACTTTGGTGCTTTCAAGCACTTCTTAAAGATAAACACAGCTATCTTTTAGGTCTGTAGGAGAACCACTGAGTCTTGTAAGACTTTCATTCCCTTCCAGTTTCTAGTCTAGTCAGCCTGTGACATTTTAAAAAATACTCTTTTATCCCTTTTGGCTGAAGCTGTATCGACTCACTGAAGCCGACAATCTCAGCTTTTTATACCCACGGAGCACTGAGCGATCAAAATCAGTACAGAGAGGGCTGTGATCTCCAACCACCACGCTGCCCCGCCCGCTGCAACAATCCAACAGGAAAGTGATGTTCTCTGTCAGACAGGCAGTCGAGGGAAATAACTAAAACAATCTTAAGTGGTGGCTTGTTCGTTACAGCCTATCCTCAGGCATGCCCAGCCCCCTCTTTCCTCTTTTCCCTTTTTGTTTACAAAAGCACTTGGGAAAGTATGTGCTCCCTCACTCTGAATATTAAGTGTGGCTGTAGAACAGTGTTCTTGGCATTTATCTTGAGCAGGATTTATTTAAAAATATATATTAAATGCTTTCTACGGAAACTAATCCAGAGAGTAAAATGGATAATACGCTGCCGTGATTGACACATCTAAAGAGAAGCTTTCTGTTGACTTATATGTGAACTTTAAGTCTCGCTGTCTTGCTCTTCCCCCCTCACATAGACACCACGCCACAGGCGTTTGGCATACCACTGTCGCATGTCATATCCAACGACCGCATGCACAAGCTGCGGCACGATCACCCACGGGAAGAGCACAGTGACCCCACTGAATTGATGCTATCCTTCCTTCATCTTACATCTAGCTACAAAAGGGCTAACAAAGAGCTCTCCAGCAGCAACTCGTCACTGAGCTCCACTTCTGAGACCCTTAATGAATCACCACTGCCCAGCACACCAGACATAGCCCCACGGACACGCAGACGGGTAGGCTTCCCTGTCAACAAACCTTACATACACTGATGTAGAATAACAAGTTATTTGTCTGATTATGCTTGCACTCGAGATTTCTTTGAGAATTTGTGACCTTTTTAGATGTTCCCCCGGAGGCTGATGATGTGGCCATTCACAGCATATGATCAATTGCTTTTCCAGTCATTATACTGTCACCCATCTGCTTAACAGGGCGGAGTGTCTGTGGATTGCATCACTGACCTTGATGACAACCAGTCTCGGCTCTTGGAGGCACTCCAGCTGTCTCTGCCAGAAGAGGCAGCTGGCAACACGAAGAAGCACCATGACGAAAAGCTCAGCCTTAACCCTATTTACAGACAGGTGCCCAAGATAGTGGACCAGTGCTGCCAGCACCTGGAAAAATACGGTACGTAGTGCACAAGTAAAGGTACATAAACACAGTGCAGAATACCAAATTAAATTCTATAAAATGTACAGTAATGCACCTCACAGAAGAAGGTCCTGGGTTCTAATCCACCATCTGGCTGGGGTCTGTGTGGAATTTGTGTTCCCCTCAATGTCTGTGTGCGTTCTCTCTGGACACTCTGGCTTCCTCCCACACTTCAGAAACATGTAGTTAGTGGGGCTAGGCTAATTGGTCATTGGAAATTGGCCTTAGGTGTGAATGGTTGTCTGTCTCTTTGTGTTGGACCTGCGAAAGATTGGGGGCCTGTCCAGGATGTACCCTAGCTCTCACCCTATGGCAGCTGGGATAGGCTCCAGCCCCAGCAGAAGAAAATGGATGGATGCAAAATGTACAGAATATCCCCTTAAACACTTGGTTAAATGTTCATTGTCTTGCGATGCAAATGCCTTGGAAGTAAAGGAGCATCTTTGTCTTTGTTTAGCCCTACAGACAATTGGAATTTTTCGTGTTGGGAGTTCCAAGAAGCGAGTACGACAAGTAAGACGTCAGCTTAGCTTTTTAACACCTCTGCACTTTATCCACGGGTAACCTTTTAACCATATCAGTTGTCACAATATTTTACCCAGCTTCGTGAGGAATTCGACCAGGGATGGGAGGTTTACATGGATGAAGAGCACAGCGTCCATGATGTAGCTGCATTGTTTAAAGAATTCTTAAGAGACATGCCTGAGTCACTGCTGACAAAAGAACTTTATACAGCCTTCATCAATACAATGTGTAAGAAAAAGACACACACAATAAACAATCCACTATCTTCTGATTACTTTGAAATTAATGTTAACTGTGTGTTTTTTGTTGTTGTTGTTGTTATTGTTCTTTTCTTCTACAGTGCTGAATTTTTTAGAGCAAGACAGTGCCATCCAGCTCCTGGTGTTTATGCTTCCTCCCTGTAACAGCGACACGCTACAGCGCCTCCTCAGCTTGTTGTCCACTGTGTCTGCACATGCTGAAGACAGCCTGGACAGTGAGGGACATAAGGTAGAGGCCGGTTTTTACAGCAGTCTAAAATGCTTCCAAGAAGCACAAGCTTTTGTGTGATGAATTTTATATAAGTGTGAGGTAGCACACAATGAGGTGATGATAATTTAGTTAATAATTTTGTCTTCTTTGCTCCCAGAAGACACCCAGAGTTTAACCCTTAGGAACTGCCTCTTTTGGCAAGAACTCACATTTTATAGCTTGTTGATTCTATCGCTGAATAGGAAAAAATATGTTAAATCACAAAACAATCTCATTGACAAACTGCTGATACATTGTATCCCAACTGCCATCGGAGGGAAGTCAAAAAGATATGCAGTACATCTGAGGCCTCTTATTTTTAATTTGAAGGAAGGGACATACCAAAACGCAACACCTTTATGGACAATATGGTTTCTTTAATAACCATTGAGTGAGGACATAAACACTGCACGTTGGTATCATTCTCTTCTGTCTTAGGGCCAGATTTACTGTTGTTCTGTGCAAAACCCTCAATTGGCTTTTTAAAAGCTACTCTTGGGATTTACTTAATACGCACAGTGTCAATTTTGTGGCTATAAAACATGGACACATTTTGTGGATTAAATTTCCCTCTCATGGTTCAGAATTTAGAAGATGAACAAAACATAAGCATTAACTTCATAGGTTTTGAGGTGGAGTAAGTATCATTCAATTAAGTTTATTTCACAACAGTCAACAACAACGGTCGCCTCGAGGCAAGCATCATTTAATGAAATTTGGTAAATGCTCTTTTCACTGCGTGGCAAATAATAAACCTAACTGGAAGGGCCAATAAGTGTAAAAAATTAGGGAGGAGATTATTTAAATGAATCATACAAATGTGATTTACTAAGGACTGTTGCAGGCAAATTAGTGCAAATTACACCATTATTTAACTCGGGAAAAAGCATGTCTTATTTTGCGCCTGATGTGGCTGTGATAGTTGCCGCTAGGAACGTTAATTTATTTGAAATGCCAACAGGAGATGTTATCAGAATGAGTGCGTAATTGCTGTGGGTGGATTAGTCAAAGTTGTAAGTGCGGTGGCAGAACTTTGGCTCTGTCCTTTGGCTCTTCGCTGTTTCCTCCCACTGAATGTTTAGAAAAGCACTTCACATATTTCTTGTCCTCAATCACACTGGTATTTCAGTGTAACAGGGCACAACTTAACATGGACACGCAGTGGAAGGGGACAATAGTTTCCTAAAACAAGATGGATACAAACCGTGATGTATGAGAGGCAGCAAACGTACTTTTTACAGTGAACAAGGTAGTTTCCAGTATTTTGTCCTTCAAGTCACATTTCTACACAGAGATCAGCCCATACAGTGATAACTGCAGAGAGTACAAAAGCCTGTACATGTCTTTACTCAGCAGTGCATACACACAGTAGGGGTAACTCCATTAATATTCAGACAGGATCTGATGGCAAACAGTGTTTTGTGTTGTTATTCTGCACATCTCACAGGACAGCTGTTACAGATTCCAGGCGTATAGGTTTGGTTGTATTAAAGCAGTTTTTCTCCACACCTGAGCTGTCAAAGCTAGCCAAAGAGCAGATGGCCCAGCATCCAAATTCCCACAAAGTTCTTACCAGTTTCTTACAAATATATAAAACGTTCTCCTTAAGCTGTCTTCAGTAATTTGCTCTGCTCTTGGCAGCTTGTGTTGGTCATTACTGCGATGAGCCGGCTATGTTTGCATGAATAACTTAGTGCCTTATTAGTAGATCACTTGCAAAAGCTTTCATGCCCACAGGTGTTTTCTTTTTCCATCTTTTTTTCAATTGCAGCTAATTTTCCCTGCAATAAACCTGATATAGGTGGATCTGCATATTTGATTTGACAGATTTTTCACAGTAGATCTCATCCTGACATAATCCTAATGGGAATTTGTGACTCCTCCTGGACTCGAACCAGCGATTGTTCATGTTTTTGCACTGTTATGTCATGTTATGCAGCACTTTGTTTGAGAATTACGAGACAGTTAAAGTGATCAGCTTATCCCAATATGATTATTAATCATCAACTCAAAAGCAAAATATGTGCAAATACATTGATATAATGAAAGTTTAGTTGGAGGATGTGTTTGTTCAGTAGTTTAAACATGTTATGAGAACTCTGTGTTCTGTTTTGTTTAGGTTACAGGCAACAAGATGACATCGCTTAATTTAGCTACCGTCTTTGGACCCAACCTCTTACACAAGCAAAAAAACTCAGACAAAGAATTTGCAGTAGAGAGTTTTGCCCGTGCAGAGGAGAGTGCAGCCATCATCGGCGTTGTCCAAAAGATGATCGATACATATGATACGCTGTTTATGGTAAGGGCTCTAACTGCAAACTAAGATGTTAAACATTCTTAAGGTTTTCTTTGGTCAGTCAGTGTTTGCTGTTGTGTCTTGTGCAAGTTCACCCAACTAGATATAAAAATCGACTTCAAATAAAATATGATTCCAGCCTCTGTTTTGTTGGTGTGATGATGCCAGGATCCTCATCTTCATTATCTACATTCTCTGTTTTTCAACTGAAACCTCAGCCGAGTCACACTTTAGTTAAACTATCTGAAAATTATCTGTCAAGAAAATCAGCAGGGTAGAAGTCAATCAAACATGTATTTACATTAATTATTTTCTCAGTGCACCTTGCAAACATCTGGTAAATGACTCACTATAAACGAGCAGTGTAGGCTTTTTTTAAACCCTTCTGGGGGGCATCATCTAATTAATATGGTGAAGAGTTTCGTTCTGATGCGATTAATCACCAAATCAATGAGTGAGGATGAAGGAGAAACCAAATTTATGTGTTTTTTTCTAGGTGCCCCCTGACCTGCAGAATGAGTTGTTGATGAGTTTGCAGGAAACAGATCCTGATGTGGTGGATTATTTACTGCGGAGAAAGGCCTCACAATGCTCGTGAGTTTCTGCCTTTTGTCTCATTGTGCATTTATGCGCATGCATGACTACTTAAATGATCAGAATCAAGCACACATTATAGCTCGTGGTCACAGGTTTTTCTAGAATTGAGTGTTTTTGTCCAAACATACCCATCCATTAATATATTGCGTCTGCTTTGTCTTCACAGAGAGCCCAGCCTTAGGTCAGAAGAGTCGTTCTCTCTGACTGACAGACGCTTGTCCAGTGACTCACACAAGCCATCTAGTGGAGAGGTTTCCCCCTATGACAATAACTCCCCCGTCCTGTCCGATCGACCGCGGTTTAAATACACAGAGGACGGCAGTCTGCTCTCAGACAGAGTTCCCAGACAGGACAAACTCAGAGACCAATCAAAAGACAACTCTGGCAGTACCTCCCCTACACTTTCTACTGACAAAGGTGAACAAAATTCATTTCAACCATAGTTTTAATGTATAAAGTGTAACTTGAAAGATCTGTGGAATTTTCTTCCTGAGAGTTCACTCCCACATCTATGTTAGCCAACAGTGCCTTAAAGTCACATTAAAGTCACATTAAAGTTCAGATATAATGAATACATTTGTAATATGAACATAAAACAGTAAACATGACAGTATATTTCCAAATAATAAAACATGATAACTTCTATTTTTTATGGTATCATTTTGATGCTTGAAATACTCCCAAGGAGGCGTTTATTTCTCTCTTTAAAAGACAAGATGGTCACATGTCATTAAACATTTCCATAACTTCCAGTATCTAATATATCTAAGATAATTTCTTTGTAAACGTCACATTGCCAAGGCCAAAAGGAAACAGAAAGAGGCTTAAAAAAGGTGAAATAGCTTTAACCTTCTCATATTTTGCATTGAGATAATATGCATTAAAGCAAAGAAAGTAATCCTCTTAGTTCTTTTGTTTCTGTTAGAGACCTCAGCTGACAGTTTCTGGGACACCTGGCATGAGCTGTTCGGAAAGGATTTCACTGGCATCGCCGGTAACTGAATCCATTTTACATGTTGCTCCAGATGGTCTTTGGATATGGAATAAATGCTGGATGCTAATGAATGTTTTCTCCCAGGATACCTTGGAGACGTGTCGGAATGTGACTCATACGGCTCATCCGAGGGGCTGAGCAGTCACCAAGGTAACAACAAGCTGCCTGTCAGTGCAACACAAATGTCATTGGGCGTTTCGGAATGCAGGCCACACCCTCCGGTGACTCGCTGCAGCAGTGGTCCTGATGACCAAAGAGAGCAGAGACATCCAGAATCGTTATTATTACATCAGGCAATGAGCAGCCAATCGGGAGCTGTTAGCTCAGACAACTTAGCACAAAGGACAGGATGCACTGAATGTCCATTACTCCAGGTCAGGACTGACAGTTTATCTTCCCTTAACTGCTCTCGACCTCTAAGAGAGACTCATATTTCTCACTCCACACCCTCCCTCTTAAAATCTCAGCATGACCCCCAAATCCCACAACAGTCCCAGCAGAGCGCTGACTTCAAGATTGTAGATACAGCAGATGCCACTGGGCCTGGAGAGGAAAAAGGCCCTGATTCTTCAAACTGGCAGAAAGAGAGGTGGCATATATGGAAGATGATGTCAAAAGAAAATCCAGAAGCTCTACCAGAAACGTTGGTGTGACCCACTCTTAACTGATAAGCAGACTGTGGATCAATGTTTTATAAAAACATGTGCACGTCTCCTGTCACATCATCAGGTTATCATTGTGTGCAGTTAACATTATCAGTTGATTTTAGTGTTTTATACTGAATATAAAATGCTAAATGATATATACTTGTTATTGTTATTTTGCACTAACTATATAGTTTAAGCATGATTGTGTATGTTTTTGTATTTTTTTTTAAAAAGAACCATGAAAAACTTGTATGTAGACTTGAATGTAATAATTGGACTTGAATATTGTTTTATATTAATGCTGAATGTAAATATAAAAAAATGTTTTTTAATATTTCTTTAAATTTATAGCAACCTAATCTTGACACATCTGTAAATGCTGCAATAATATGTGTGTCTTGAGTTCATGGCTCATTGTTTTTTTGTATTTTTTCTTTCAAGAAAATGCTTACATTTTAACAGAAGTTCGTCAGCTTACCAACACTCCTAATTTTGTGTTTGCTACAAAAGAAATTATTGTTAAGCAGCATTATTTGCAGATATGAATATATTTAATATAAGTTTACAGTCATTTGTAATTTAATGAAAAACAACTTTCTCCAGGTGTCTCCTAATAAACAGACTAAGAGTTGTCTCTTTGTGGTCACCTTTCCTGCCTCACACATTTGGCTTCACTCAGATTCCAGAGTCCTATCTATCTAGCAAAGGTTGTGGGCTGTACCAGGAAGTGGCACGTATCAGCACCGAACATTGAGATATAGTATTAAATTACATTATATGATATGAATATATGTATATATTCATTTATTCATTTATTTTAGGTTCAGGTTTACTAAAATGGCTACTGGTAGGCAGCAGGAGTTCAGAGCACAGTGAAACAATTTCCTAATCTGGCCACAAGAGGGAAGCATAAGACCAGGAAACTTTTGTATAGTTGGTTTCCTTGCTGTTTCGAAACCTTGAACATCAATATGGATCTGTCAGTGGCTATAACAATTCATTACATATTAAATAGAGTTTTATTAACTTTCATTCCTATTGCTTTTCTTCCACCACTATGATTGGTGGTGGGGATTTCATGTGTTGGAGTAGAGATATGTTCATGTTGGAAAAGATGAGTGATCTTCTTGGGCCACGGATTTTGCATTAATCTTACTCTGTGCTAATGGACATAAGATCTGAGACGAGCTCATATTTAACATTAAATGGATGTTTTGTTGGACACAAAAAAATCATCTGTCTATGAAATTTGGCACAGATTCCAGACAGCTGTGCTTCATTATGATTAGTCAATGTAACATGATGGAATGATTGTGATTGCTTGAACTGCCTATTTTAGTTTTCACGTATCAAGTTTAGTGGTAGGTAATTTCTCACCTACATAGCACGCTCTTCTTTTATTCATCAAAGACAGCAGATTTCCTCAATACAAAGATTTGTGGTTAAACTTTGAAGGCTCCACAGCTGTCGGACTCAAGCTGTATTGGCTGCCATGCAGTCCAATTCTGATGAGACCAAGAAAACAGAACAGGATGTCTGGATGTGTTTCACAGAGAATCCACTCTCACTGCCATTTGTCTTCATGACTTAAAAATAAAAAAATCTGTGCTGCAAATGGAACCATTCATTGTTCTAAACACTACCAGGCCAAACACTGAAGGGCAAAAACAAACAGACCGCAGCTACCTCCTGAAGCAAACGACTGAGATCAAATATTTAATTCCATGTCTTATCTTTGCAGTACTGGATGTAAATTGATCCACTGCTTCTGTTCCCAACAGGAGGCCCATCCTCTCTGAGTCCGCTCCTTAGCATCAGGAGCAGCTGCAGGGAGGACAGAAGAAGGTCACAACCAAAATGAGACTCAACAGTCAGAAACAAGAGAGCCCTGGCCCTGCAGTTTCAAGGTCGAGATTGATACACAGCTCTCTGCAGAGGAAAAATAGAGCTCAGTGGAGCTCATTAAAGTGTTAGTCATGCACAATCACTCAGTCCTCAGTCCTTTTTCTGTCATTTTAGGCACCAATTCTGGACCACTTAATATGCAGCTGCACTAACTGCTTTTCAGCTATTCGCCATATATCTGAAGCCATCTAAAGGAGATATTCCCTGGCTTGTTAAAGCAGTCGTGAGCACACGTAAATGTAAATGCTTCCTCTCTCCTTGTGAAATTTAACTTAAAATTAGAGGGTGTGCCTTGAAGTCAAATCTTGTGCTCAGTCACTTGTCAGTGCCAAGGTAATGTGCTGCATTTGCATTCCCAGGAAGGTGAGGCAAGAAGCTGTTTTGCGCTGACTTATGATTCGACTTCTTTGGATTTCGGTAACTTTAGCAGAACTGTAAATAACTGATGATGCCCAGCATTTCAGCTAATGGAAAAATGGATAATACACTGGTAAGTAAATGCAAGAGTTACACACGGCCCTAATGTCAATAAAAAAGAGGCTTATGGGAGTCATAGTCCTGACTGGGTAATGAAGTTTATTTCAAAAGAAAAAGAAAAAGTTCCAGATTAAAGGGATTAGCAGTGATTGCATTAAGCCTCTCATCTTAGTCCACCTCCACACTTGATGACCAAAATGTGATGGTTTAGATACCAACTGAGTCACTGATAAAACAAGCTTAAGCAGTTTTGTGCAGTTCTTGACTTGCTTTGCATTCTGAGCAACTATCTTCTGTGGAGGGGTTGTTTGAAGTAATGCTTAAAAGTTACTTTTCTAAAATTTTAATTTAACATCAATGCTTTCCAACTCAATTAATCTATGTCTGATTGCTATGATCGGGCCAGTATACTGAGAAAAAGTCTTCCCCTCTCCAGTTTGCCACAATCTCCGTGAAGCAATGCAAGAGCAGCCTGCAAAATCTCATTTCCTCATGCTCCAATTGGAAATAAATGTGATTAATATTTCCCCTTTTGAAACAGAGACCACACTGCACCTAGAGTAATGGATGAAATTTGTGTTTTTCTTTTTTTTCTCATTCTGATGTTTGTATTCAAGTCCTATATACATGTTTGTCCCGAACAAATAAGTGCATGGACCTGAATTTGTTTGTGATGTCCGAAAAAGACTTAGATTTTGGTTTGCATATTACCAGCGATTCCTCTTCACTCCCTGGGTCTACAGGACACAGCAGAGGGATGCAAGCTGTATATAGGGTGGGACAAGGGCTCGGGTTCAAGTCAGGTCTTTGGCTGTGTTAGACTGTGAATGATTCATTGTTGAAGCTGCGGTTACAATACCTTTTGGGAAACAAAATCCAGTTTTCACAGGCAGTTTTGTTCAGTCTTCAAAATTGCGCAACAAACAGAAAACTGCGTGGCTGGAAAAAAAAACCCACTTCCATGCAACACCAGGCATCAGAGCAACCAGATGTTTTCCTCCATAGCTCATTGTTATCAAGCTTGTTTTATGGGACAACTACACACATACTGAATCTGTCTGCTTATTAGTATTACTGCCATCTCTGTCTCTCTTTTTTTTTGTCTGACAGTCTACTTGAGACTGTCAGAATGCCATTTAGCGGTTAGCATATGCGCAGAGATATTTCACAACATATGTTCGGTGAAAATATGTGTGTGTGAGAGTGTGTGTGAAAGACATGTGACTGTTAAATTTAGACGGGGAACTATTTTAATAATTTCCAACTCCTTTCACCTCTGTTTATGCCCTCTTACTTCTGACTAGCTGCAGTTTGCAAACACAATATTTGCTTTAAGTCTGAGCTGTGTGTCTGAGATGACCATATTAAATATATTGTCTGTCTGTTATTTGAGCCAAGAGAAGAAAAAGCTGAACTGGAGAGTTTAGAGCACTTTGAAGCTAGAGCTTTGGGCTCATAGGGATTACTTGAAAATGTGACTCATGTTTAATATGAGCATTCACCACTGCAATGTAAAAAAAAAAATATATAGATATATATATAGATAGATAGATAGATAGATAGATAGATAGATAGATAGATAGATAGATAGATAGATAGATAGATAGATAGATAGATAGATAGATAGATAGATAGATAGATAGATTCCATTTAATATGTTTATTTTTAATCATAGTCTTATATGTAATCCTTATTTAGGTGGCAAAAATGGGGGGTGGGGGGTGGGGTGGGGGGGAATCTAATTATTTTCTGGTAAAAGTGATCAGTACCAGAAAATGTCTTGAAGAGAAAGTGGTCATTATCAATACTCTGCAGGGCAATTTAAAGCTCTGTTTAATTCCCCTATGTACACAGGCTGCACGCAGGCAAAGCTAGTACACACAGAGTGTAGAAAACATGTTAAAACAAGCTTCAATTATATATAACCTTTCTTTGTTATGAATGAAAGAGGCTGCCAGCAGTTAATGATTAGGCAGAGAATGGACCGTGATAATTACTTCAAAAATGTCAGTGTTAAAGTGCAAACATCCAAACACCTGGTAATATGACTGTGTGCCAATAAAGAAGCCGAGCTTTTAATCAGCACCCTTTAAGGTTTCGCACTCTCGTCTCAAAGATGACAGGGAGCAGCAGCTCCGAGGCGAGTTTTCTCTGCAGCTTTTTTTTTTTATCGCCGTGTCCTCCTATTTCCTTCTAGACGATTTTTTTTCTTTCTTGTCGTCTTGGTTGCATCCTTATTCCCTCGGGTCTTCATTTTCAGATATAGCAGATTCTAGTAATGTGCTATCTCATATGTTATTCAGTTTGGCAGTCATTTGATGTATAGGATTTGTGGAAATACTGTAGTAATCATCATGGGGAACTTAGCAGCCAGCTAATAACAACCAAATACCGCCAGATACACTGAGCCAAAGCTACCAGACACTTACAAACACAGCAACAAATAACAAACGCCAACACTGTCAGGCTGTAAAATTGATTTTTAAGCTCTTCCAGGTTTGATTGAGGTGCTCGGTTTGTAAACAGTCTCTATTCTGCTCTCTTCCTTAAACATAGTGGAAAATACAAACCAAACGAGTTTGAATGGGAAAATAAAGACAGCCAACGTGTTTAACAAATTCTATGTTAATACTTATTTTATTCCTAGACTACAGGATAAAAGCCATGTTCCCTCGCTCCTAAGCCTAGCTTTTATCAACTGTAAGCTGCTAACAAGTACCCATTGATGATAGTTTTCTTATAAAACATGAAAACAAACATCCATTTATTTTCTTAACCGCTTATCCAATTCAGGGTGGCAGGGGCACTGGAGCCTATCCCAGATGTCAAAGCACACAGGGCAAGATTATTCATCTAAAGCCAGTCTAAGTATAAAGCCAATTACCAATTATAGGAATTACCAATTAACCTAACAGGCATGTCTTTGGACTGTAGGAGGAACCCAGATTATCTGGACAGAGCCCATGTGGACACCAGGAGTACACATTAACTGCACATAGAAAGGCCCCAGCCACTGAGAGGATTTAAACCAAGGATCTTCTTACTGTAAGACATCAGTGCCAACCACTGAGTCACTGTACTGTTAGTTAGTTGTACAGTACTGTACTGTAAAATGTCTTGAACCACCCCTAAATGGGAAATAGATCCAGGAGTGCAGTATGTGCAGTATGACCTCATTCATGTAAACTGAGTAGTCTTCAGTCTTTTGTTCCAGTGATCCCACACTGCTTCAGTAACATTGCTTGGATTCCA